TGCAGGGTCTGCTGGCACGGGTGCTTGCAGCCTTGCAACTGGTACAAACTGTGTAGCCAGCCCGTGGCCCTTTAAGGGCTCCGGGGCCGGGAGGGGGGCAATAGAGTTTCCCTGGTGTTGGCCAGAGTGGCCACCAGGGAAATCTGGGAAGCCTTAGCCTCCCACTAGTTTGAATTAAGGGTCTACACAGCCATTAATTCGAACTAGCTAGTTCGAACTAGGCTTAATCCTCGTAAAATGAGGTTTACCTAGTTCAAACTAAGCGCTCCGTTAGTTCGAATTAAGTTCGAACTAACGGAGCGCTAGTGTAGCGCCTAGGAAAGTTAGTTCGAACTAACGTCCGTTAGTTCGAACTAACTTTGTAGTGTAGACATACCCTCACATACATCCTCTCCCTATGATCTTGAGCAAGTTCCAGAATCTCTGTATGCATCAGTTTCTCCTCAGTAAAACGAAGATTACAATGCTCCCTTCGCGGTGCTAAAATGGAGTCAGGTATTCAGTGTTCTGAAATCACAGTGATGGGGCCATGTAAGAACCTAGCAGCTAAGTGATTCTGAATCTTTTTCCTTGCTACTGGAGGTGGGGTACTGTAAAGCGTAATCAGCACAGGTCTTAATTCTGGGCTGAATAGAATAGAGTAGAACTCCATTATTTGACGTCAGGAGAAAAAAATATTTAACATTCTTTTCAAAGGGAGATTAATTGCATTATGTTTAGTTGATTGATTTATTTTTGTTGATGTTTTATTTTAAATCTTGGAGTTTCATAAACCCTTTGACGCAGAGCAATTGTTTTACAGGTTTCCCATATGCTATGAGCAGTAGAAAAGACTTGAAAAGAAATGAAGTGTTGTATTCTGTTGCAGCAAGCCCATATGAGAACCCAAATGCAGACTATTGTATAGTGGATGACACTGAAGCATCTGGCAAGAGGCCTGGAGATAAAATACATACCGTCTATGCACTAGTGCAAGAATAGCTGTTCCTGTAAGTGACCTATAAGAGGATGTGTTATTTTTTATGAATTATATTACTAATAGAACAACCCAGGTTAGTCACACTTGTATAATTAATAGGGGGGCAATGTGAGAATGCACTAATTGACAGGACATTTTCTTTCAATTGTATGAATCTATTCAGGGATCTGTTTCTCACTTCAGCAATATAGACCTTTAGTTTTCCACTATATATGCCCCTTTTTGCACTGCGTAGCTGTAGAGTCGGATTTTCAAACCTGAAGTAAAAGAAATAGGCTAATCTGGAAATTGTTCAACCAGAGCAAACCTTAAATTGATCACACACATTGGACAGCAGTGACATTTCAGCTAATGCAAAACATGGGTGAGAGGGAAGGCACAAGGAATAGTGCATTAGTTTGCCATCACTGCAATATCTGTGCTCTCCTGAGTGCAGGAACTGCTTTCTGGGACACAAGCGGCCCAAAAATTGAAATAGAAGATGCGGGGAGATGGTATGACCGTGCCCCACTCCCTCTAGCCTGCCATCTCTTTTGGGGGAGCACAACATCTGCTCTTGTCCAGCAAGGCAGTAGAGTTCCAGGAGACAGTGGATAAATTGCTTTTCTCTCACGTATGGCTTTGAATACACAAAGAAAGAACTTTTTGTGGTTTAAGGATGTGGTGCTCAGAATGTTCAGCATTGCATTCTTGATTGATGGTGCCACTGTATTTCTCTTGAGCACTAATTTACCTTTGTAAAACAGCTATGAAATCCCCACTACTACTCCTTTTTTATAGTAAAAAATCACTTTGAGGCATGTGGGCCATAATTCCGTCATATGCAATTTTGATTTTAGCCTAACTGACACCTAACAGTGTGAGATTGTTTCTTAGAAGGTATAATGAAAGCTGAACTATATGACTTTCTCTAAAACCACATTGAAAAACTCTCCAATGACCATGAAATTGTTTTTATTTGCAAAGGAGCTGGAGAATTGAAGTCAGTATGAAAATAATGATCAACTTTTGGCTGAATAACTTTGACTAGTGAATTTTGAGTATTCAGTGAGCTATCTTACAGATATTAATGAGAAGATCCACTGCTGATACAAAGTCTCATACTATTATGAAGCTATGAAAGTTTGCATTAGAAGAACATCAGAATTGTCATACTTGGACCACTGGTTCACATAGTCCAGAATCCTGTCTCAAAGCTTATGACCTTCATCAGATCCTTCAGAATTAGATTCAAGAAGAATCCCAATAATAGATAATTATGGCACAACTTACTCACAGAGAATATTTCTTCTCAACACCTATCAGCTAGAGGTTAGGTATATACCCTGAAGCAAGAGGGTTTTATGGTCCTCACACATTTTATCCTTGTCTAATGTAAATTTATATTTAGTGTATGAAAATCTATGTAATGAATGTTTGTATTAGAAAACAAGATCTTTATTTTCCTCCAGTTTTATGTTGGCATAATTCTGTTGGCCCCTGTGGAGTTGCTCATGCTTTACACTGGCATAAGGAGGAAAAAGATCAGAAGCTTATTTATGCAACTGTGATTCCTAAAGGAAGCAGAATCAATTAAGGACACTAAGAACATAAGAACATAAGAATGGCCGTACTGGGTCAGAACAAAGGTCCATCTAGCCCAGTAGCCTGTCTGCCGACAGTGGCCAGCACCAGGTGCCCCAGAGAGGGTGGACCGAAGACAGTGATCAAGCGATTTGTCTCCTGCCATCCCTCTCCAGCCTCTGACAAACAGAGGCCAAGGACACCATTTCTATCCCCTGGCTAATAGCCTTTTATGGACCTAACCTCTATGAAATTATCTACCTTCTCTTTAAACTCTATGGGTATGTCTACACTACCCCCCTAGTTCGAATTTAGGATTAGGCTTCCTAATCTGAACTAGCTAGTCCATGCCGCGTGTAGCCGCGCGGCATGGGGTCTGAACTAGCCGGCATTTCAAAATGGGGCTGGCCGGGCGTATGCCAA